ATAATGGACTCTAGTTGTCAAATGACAGCTGGAATAGGTAATCTTAGCAACTGACAGAATTCCTAATTTGGCATACTGCTCAATAGGAAAGGCTATTTTGGTAGGAAACAGCAAGTAGGATGCCAAAACAGTACTGCCTTCCAAAGCAGTATCACATCCCTGGTGAATTATAGAGATTAGTGATGGTTGCCACTAATTCCCAGGTTCACCCACCACAAAAGACCTACTGGGTGTTGGTTACTTTAAAACCAATCAAGTAATGACTCCAATAGTAGCTTCTCTTCCCATTGGGGTGTTCTTAATAAAGCAACTTCAAAGAGTTCTGACACTTTGCAGTTATTGATATGAGTTTAGGTCCAGAATATCTTTTAAAAAATCTTTTTCTTTCTCATATTATGTAACCAATATTTTTTATTCAATCATAATTTTTATGTCTTATTGCCTATCGCTCTTTCTTAATCCCTTCTTCATATCTATATATGTCTCTTCCCTTTAAAATGGGGATCAAACTTGATATAGTAGCTCACACCTATAATCTCAGCTACTTGAGAGGTTTGAGCCCAGAAGTTTGAGACCAGTCTGGAAAATGTAGCAAGACCTAATCTCTTAATAATAAATAAGTAAATGGCTCGGCACCTGTGGCTCAAGTGGCTAAGGTGCCAGCCACACACACCTGAGCTGGCGGGTTAGAATCCAGCTCAGGCCTGCCAAACAACGACAACTACCAAAAAATAGCTGGGTGCCTGTAGTCCCAGCTACTTGGGGGGCTGAGGCAAGAGAATTGCTTAAGCCTAAGAGTTTGGGGCTGCTGTGAGCTGTGACGCCACAGCATTCTACCAAGGCTGACATAGTGAGACTCTGTCTCAAAAATAAAAAAAAGAAAGAAAAGAAAGCGAAGTTCCCTTATTTCATTTAAGCATCCAATTCATGGCAAAGCTCTGTACATTATCTGTCTTTGAGTTATGATTCAGTAAATATGCCCCAGGAATACATAGTATCATTTCTATAATTTTGTAATAGAAAATGAATCTAATTTGGCTGATTAGGATAACAATGAGGCCTAATTTTGCCAATTAGGTTAAATGGTATAAATTATCCATAAAATGAATTGGCTAATCAGCAGTTGCAAGGTTTTGAGGGAAAAAATGTTTAAAGTACTAAAGGTTGAAGCTGTAGTTGTGTGTGTGTGTGTGTGTGTGAGAGAGAGAGCGAGAGAGAGTCAGAAATTGAAACTAATAATGTTTCCATTTCTCTAACCTGTCAGCACAGTGGCTTATGTTTGTAATCCTAGCACTTGGGAGGCTAAAATGGGAGGATTGCTTGAGATCAAGAGTTCAAGACCTGGCTCGGCGCCTATAGCTCAACCGGCTAAGGCGCCAGCCAC